CGACTTTTCAGATGGGTCCTGGAAAAAAAAAATTCTCCTGATTCAGTGAACTGGGAAGGAAGCAGGAGGTTTGGGACATTTTCAGCCTCGCCCACCACCTTACAAAGTAATAGATATCTTAGGGTATAAACTGGAAAACACGGAAATGTGTGAATAATTAGATTCCTCCTCAAATAAAGCCCCCAGAATCTTACTTCCCCAAATCAAATTCATTTACTGGAATGTTTCATGTTTTGACGTGTCTATTTTTTTTTACATACTTGATAACTCTGCATAAACCACTTAGTGTCTTGCTTTTTATTCTCTTTTGTTTTTAAAATATTTTTAATTAATTTGTCGAGGGAGGTGGCTTGCGTGGCGGTGATAGGGTAACTTGCAGGAGTCGGTGCCTCCTTTCACCACGTGGGCTCCGCAAATCAGACTCAATTCACCAGGCTTGGGGGCAAGCACCTTTACTGGCTGAGACAGCCGATGCTTCCTCCCCTCCCTCCCTCGACTTTGTAGCCACTCTCCTGCCTCAACTTCCTTAGTACTAGGATCACAAGCATGAGGCACCCCACACCTAACTTTGTCTTTTGTGTTTACTCTCTTCCATCTTCCATTTCTTTAAACACATCCTAAATATGGGTAAATGGTTCTATGCTAAGATTATTGTGCAGGAAGCTTCGAGAATTTACTGTTCTGTGGTTGTGTCCCTGTGGATACTGATAAGGGAAAGGGACCTGGTCTTGGAATAGCAACCAGGCCTTTTGTAGTTCCCAAACATTTCCTTCTTTGCCTCAGTTAAAAAGAAAGAAAAAGAAGGGAGGGAGGGAGGAAGGAAGGAAAGAAGGAAACAGTTAAATTCATGGGTTCTGACTATGGTGACCTTTGACAAGTTCTTGTTTTTCAGTTTTCCGGGCATTATCTATTTCTCTGGAGCTTTAAAATCGTATCATCAAATCAGTACTTTGAAGCCTGCAAGGAGGAGGCAGTACACAGTGTTTCCCAAGGCCCCCAAGTGCAGGCCTGGGTTCCAGTTTGGCCCTCCCAGGTTCCCAGTAGACCGGGCAGGCTGGGCTAATAGGTTCAGCAGCTCCCATGGGGTCAGTCTCAAAAAGAAGTCATGGATTACATGCTGAATAATCATAATAATTACCTTATTAAAAGTCCCTTGGAGCCGGGCGGTGGTGGCGCACGCCTTTAATCCCAGCACTCGGGAGGCAGAGACAGGCGGATTTCTGTGAGTTCCAGGTCAGCCTGGGCTACAGAGTGAGTTCCAGGAAAGGGGCAAAGCTACACAGAGAAACCCTGTCTCGAAAAACCAAAAAAAAAAAAAAAAAAAAAAAAAGTCCCTTGGAGCCGGGTGTCCCTTGGTGGCATAGCCTTTGGTCTCAGCATTCAGTAGGCAGGGGCAGGTGGATCCCTCCTGAGTATGAGGCCAGCCTGGTCTAGGTAGGTCAGGACTGCCAGGGCTGTGTAGGGAGACCTTGTCTCAAAAAACAGGAACAAAAATCACAAAGAGCCCCTTAGAGCCATGTGGTGGCTCAGGTCTATAATCCAAACCCTTGGAAGGTTGAGGCAGAAGGACAAGTTCAAGGACAGCCTGAGCTACATTGTGAAACCGGTTCAAAAAGGGTCCCTTGGGAAGATAGTCCCAGGCTGCCACTTGGTGCAGGCCCGTTGAAAATCACGGTGCAGAACCTGTTATCCAAACCTGAGTAGTCAAAAGGACTCTGGGTAACACCCTGAAGTTGCAGTGTTACCTTTAAGGTTTTTTTCTCTGTTTTTTTAAAGGGCTGTTTGTTTTTAAGGTTTTGTTTGTTTGTTGTTTTTATTGTTGTCTTGGCTTTTTTAGTTTCTTGAGACCTGATCTTGCTATGTAGTTCTGCCTAGCCTGGTTCTATGTAAGCCCAGGTTGGCCTGGAATTCATAAAATCCTTCTGTCTCAGTCTCCCTAAGGCTGGGATCACAGGAGTATGGCAGCATGCTGGCCTAGCATTGCATTAGGCTACTCTCATGAGAACCAGCCTGCACACTCCTGGCCACTGATGGGGTCATACAACCCTGGGTGGCAGGGGCACTGGCTTTCTTAGCTTCTGTGGAGGGGGCTGGTCTCAGGGAAACCATTATACACGGTGTCCAAATGGCCACAGCACAACTTACTTCAGAGTACTCACTTTCCTGTTTGGCTGCACACTCAACACCCCAAGGGTTTCTCTCAGGTGACCCCAGAATCAGGCCTGCTTGCTCGGAACCATAAATATAGCTCCCTGGCTGCACATGGAGCCCTGTTTTGCCTTGATCTTGAAATCAGTTACGCTGGCCGCGGTAGTGGTGCACGCCTTTAATCCCAGCACTCGGGAGGCAGAGGCAGGCAGATCTCTGTGAGTTCGAGGCCAGCCTACAGAGTGAGATTCAGGACAGGCACCAAAGCTACACAAAGAAACCCTGTCTCGAAAAACCAAAAAAAAAAAAAAAAGAAAGAAAGAAAGAAAGAAAGAAAAGAAATCAGTTACATTCATGTCCTCGAAAGGCACCTCCTGTCTGGGTCCCTAGCCCTTTGATGCTTTTCAAGACTGCTCTGGAGCTAGAGACACGGCTAACTGGTTAAGACTGCTTGATGCTCTAAATAACGGAGTTCAGTTCCCAGCACCTGCCCACATCACGTGTGGCTCACAATCATGTGTAACGGCAGTTCCAGGGCACCTGGCACCTCTCACCTTTTTGAGCACCTGCACTCATGGGTGCATGCCTCTACCCCTCCCCCCCTTCACATTTAGAAAGGGAAAAGATGACTCTGGCCAACCCTTCTAGGTGGGCCTGCTGTTCCTTCTTTCAGACTCTTCCTCTGTGCTTGTCAAATTAGGGAATAGTGGCTTTTTCAAGTTACAAGGACTGTCTACTGTCTGCTCAACATTTTGCAGAAGAAGCCATCTGGTCACCCAGCTAGTTATGTCACTGGCTAGACCACCGGCAGCCCTGAGCTAGTTATATGTCACAGGCTAGACCACCGGCAGCCCTGAGCTTCCTCTGCTAGAATATGCAGCCTAGGGATCTGGCTGTTTCCTTGGCTCTGGGCAATCCTGAGGTTGACTTCCTGATCTAAGCAGATAGGTTTCTGGAGCCCTAGGCTAGGCAGGGACAGGTCCTTCTATACTCAGAATGGTTATTAAGGGGATCAAGAATCTTGAGTAATGCAGATTCTGCCTCTTTTTTGTTGTTGTTGTTGTTATGGGGTTTTTTGTTGTTGTTTGTTTTTTTCAAGACAGGGTTTCTCTGTGTAGCTTTGGGGCCTGTCCTGGATCTCACTCTGTAGACCAGGCTGGCCTCGAACTCACACAGATCCACCTGGCTCTGCCTCCCGAGTGCTGGGATTAAAGGCGTGTGCCACCACTGCCCTGCTAGATTCTGCCTTTAACTTGCAAACTTTCCTGATAAACTGACTTTTTTATGGCTGTGGATTGGCTAATCACCTGACCCTTGACTGGGAGACAGGGAGAGGGCAGTGTCACAAAGGACATCTTTCAAAGAAATAATACTTAAAAGAAACCATGCAGAGAGAAAACGCCTCTTCCTTCCTGCCCAGACTCAAAGCTTACATATAGCTAGTCTCTTAATTTTTTCCCCAAGTGATTTAAATTTTATTCTAAGACATTATTGCAAGCATATAGCATGCTCACACTGCTGGGGTTTATTGTCAGGGCTTTATAGCGAGAAATCCAAGGGAGTCTGCTTAAGGGGTATAACGAATTTATTAGGACATAAATTGGAAAAGACAACTCACTAAACAGAATAGGCGAGTCATCCGAATCGTCACAGGGTCCTGGAAGGCTGAGGCCCTGTCCCACGCTCTTCTGCCTGATGAGTTAGTCCCGCACCATCCAAGCCCATGAGGGAGAGAAGAGCAGCATACAAGCCTCTCAGGTCTTAAGGGTAACCCGAGGCCACGCCCCAGGGGCTGGTACTTCAAAGCCATAGGTGGAAAGGTAGTCTCTACAGGGCTTCAAAACTAATACTGGCTCAGAGGACCTGGGTTACATTCTCAGCACTCAGGTGGCAGCTCAGAACTGCCTGTTAACTCCAGTTCCACAGAATCTGGCACTCTACTCTGGCCTCTTCAGGCATTACACATACACAGTGCACAGAATTACATGCAGGCAAACACTCATACACATAAAAACAAATCTTTTTTTTTTTTAATTATTTTTCTTTTTTTTGAAGATTTTATTATTTATTTATGTATATGAGTGCTTTATCTGCACGTACAACTTTATGCCAGAAGAGGGCATCAGATCCCACTAGAGATGGTTGTGAGCCACCATGTGGCTGCTGGGAGTTGAACTCAGGACCTCTGGAAGAGCAGGCAGTGAGTGCTCTTCACCACTGAGCCATCTCTCCAGCCCTAAAAACAAATTTTAAAAAATAAATATTGTAGCCGGGCGGTGGTGGCGCATGCCTTTAATCCCAGCACTCGGGAGACAGAGCCAGGTGGATCTCTGTGAGTTTGAGGCCAACCTGGTCTACAGAGCGAGATCCAGGACAGGAACCAAAACTACACAGAGAAACCCTGTCTCGGAAAACAAAAAACAAAACAAAAATTAAATAAATAAAATATTGTATAATGTGGTGTTTTATAATTTCAATATTACTTCAATTCTACAATTTGCTTTCCTGACTTTAACAAATGATTTATTTTGTTTCGTTTGGGATAGGGTCTTGCTATAAAGCCCAGGCTGATTTGGAGCTTGCTGTAACTGTATAGCTGAGGCTGGTCTCAACCTTGCCATCTTCTTGCCTTGGGCTCTGGAGTGTTAGCAATACAGGCATAAACCACTAGCGGTGACTTCTGGATCTTTGAAAACACTAATGTGTAGGATACATATGAAGAAGTGTGCTTATCACAGAGGTACGGTTTGCTGGCCTTCCCAGACCGAATCTCAAGTCTCCTCAGATCAGCAAGTATTTCCAGCACCTCTCTGTAGCAGTTCTTGTCACTGCTATTTCTTCCTTCTTTTCAGAGACATGCCTGCCGTGAGCCAGAATTTTGCCGGGTTGAAAGACAGCATGAGGCTGTGCACCCCAGAAGAAACAGTTCCTTGTCTCTTGCCGGGGTGAAGTCAAAGGCTACCGAGGAGAGTCTGAGGGCAGATGCCTAGATCCAGAGATATTCAAAGCTGGAAGAGACTTTGGAAAGAGGCAATAACCAAGGTGTCAGACAACCTAAGTAGCAGATCCAGGATGCAAGTCCAGACCTCCAAACAATCCAGCATTGTTTTTGGCTTTGTGGATGTTTTATGTAAATATAACCCAAGCAAGGGGAGCAGGGTGTACCAGGAAAAGAGACTTCAGGAAGATTTCCTGTGTCTGGCTGAGCATGGACATTGTGGCAGGCCATGAACAAAGGTGCATACAGTTATATCTCTCCTCCACTCTCCCATCCAAGTCCCAGACCTGGTCATTTCCAGGACCAGATGAGATGGAGCATGCTCAGGGCAATATGGCAGTATCCTCTCCTGCTCCATCCTGCTGGAGATAATCAAGCTGTCCTTTAGTTGTTTTTGAAATCATCTCTAACAGTATCTGACTCAATCTTCCCCAAATTGTGAGATACCTTAGGGCCCTACAACAAAGTTACATAGTTACCTCAAAATATTTTAATTTATGAGACAGGGTCTTACCATGTAAACCTGGCTGGCTTGGAACTTACTATGTAGACTAAGCTGGCCTTGAACTCAAAGAGATCTGCTTGCCTCTGTACCACCACACTCAGCTCATATTTTATTTTATTTATGTATGGATTTGGCTTTTTTAAGACAGGAGTATCCCTGGCTGTTCTGGAACTCACTCTGTAGATCAGGTTGGCTTTGAATTTAGAGATCTGCCTGCCTCTGCCTCCTGAGTGCTGGGATTAAAGGTGTACACCACTGTATCTGGCCTTATATTTTATTTTATTAATAAATAAAATTAACTATTTATTCCAATTAACTCAAAAATTAAAACACCACAGAACTGGTTTTAGGAAGCCATTCAAACACTTGTCCAGTTCTTATCTCACTTAATGTCTCTGCAGTTAGAATGGCGGTTGAGAAGCCATGGAGCTTTATGCAGGATTTCACACACTGTTAATCACATTGTATTCACTTATGCAACACATACACACACCACGACTGACCTGAAACTAGGTCAACAATGGTTTATATCCTCTTTCAGGACTTGTGTCCTTTTGCCTGAAAAAAGAATTATAATTTCTTTTAGATAGGGTCTTCTGTAGCTTTGCTTGGCTTAAAAGTTCATCTATTGTGGAGGATAACTTTGAATTCCTGATCATCTTGTCTTTACCAAGCCTGGGATATTTTATTTTATTTTATTTTTTGGTTTTTCGAGACAGGGTTTCTCTGTGTAGTTTTTGGTTCCTGTCCTGGATCTCACTCTGTAGACCAGGCTGGCCTCGAACTCACAGAGATTCGCCTGGCTCTGCCTCCCGAGTGCTGGGATTAAAGACATATGCCACCACCACCACCACCACCACTGGCCAGCACCTGGGGTATTTTATAAATACTCAGGAAAATACAATGATACCTGGTATCTGCCATAATGGGCATGGCCTAGTAAAGGAAGTGCAGTTTCCGAATTAGCCTGCATTAAGTTCATTTGGATGGTGTGAAGTCTTCACAGAGTTAGGTCTTGGTAGATGCTGTGTTAAAATGCAAGCACCGTGTAAAGCCTGTGGGGGAAAAGGAAATGACAGTAGTTCTGTGCAATCTGATGGTAAGGTGTGGGAAATTGTGTAATACTCAACAGGTCCCATTAGAAAGTAATAGCATGGGGCTGGAGAGATGGCTCAGAGGTTAAGAGCACTGGCTGTTCTTCCAGAGGTCCTGAGTTCAATTCCCAGCAACCACATGATGTTTCATAACCATCTGTAATGAAATCTGGTGTCCTCTTCTGGCCTGCAGGGATGCAGGCAGAACACTGTATGCATAATAAATAAAAAAAGTAATAGCAGCTATTGAGAAGCAAAATAAAAAGACTGACTTATTTTCGTGTGAGTACATCCTTTTTATAAGGAACTACTAACCTTTCAGAGCAGAAATACTTCAGTGGTTGGGACTTAACTGCTAAGTAAAGAGATAAGTCAGAAGTTTCTCTTGTCCTTGGGGCTGTGCGACCTTTGGCCAGGCCTCCAGCTCTCTGAGATCCAGTTCCTCAGGCTATTGGCAGCGTCTCTAGCACTTTTCACCAACTGGATGTTCAGCCGGTAGACCAGAGTCCAGGCTGTGAAAACAGGGTTGGGGAGTAACTCAATGGAGGCCATCCACTTGGGGCTGGTCCAGTTGTCTGGGGTCTGACGCACACACAATCGTTGGAGACTTCTTTAAAGACAATAATGCAAAATGAGAGGTCTGAGACTGGGTAGGCAGCTTGCAAGGGGCTTATTATGCACGTGAGGGGCCCTGAAGCTTAAGATGCCTCCATTTAATTAGCCTCTGGGACTAGCTGGTAAAAAGCAAAAATAGAATTCCAACCCAGTCTTGTCTGACTCTCAAGATACAAGATGTGGATTTCCTCTTACTAAACATAAAAAAAAAAAGAGAAAAATCGGGGTTGTAAAAATATTTCTAAAACTGAGAGCCCAGCAAGGTCACTCCTACAGAATCTGGGAGTGGGGATGCCTGTGTCTTCTGATTAGAGGTTTGTGAAAAGCAGCAGGTGTGGGCTTTGGCATCAAACATAGGTTTGAAGCTGGACACAGTGGCACATTCCTGTAATCCTAGCACTGAGAGGAATACCGGCGAGTTTGAAGCTAGCCTGGGCTTATAGCAAGATTCTCCAAACAAAAACAAGCAAACAAAACTACCAGTGCATGAATGAAAGCACAAATGAATGGATGATACGTTGGTTTGAATTCTAGCTCCCCTACCTCCCAGATCTGTGACTGTGGAACTCACTCCCCATTTCTGTTGTACATGCTGCCGCTGGGACAGCTATGGGAAGTGGGCTTTGAGAAGTGCCCTCCATTCGTACAGCTGCTGACATGCATTTCATGGATGGAAAAACTCCAGTAATGATGGAACCATTTACAAGTGATTAAGTGTAGAGTTGAACAGTTTTCCCTTGAGCAACACTTAGACCCAGGATACTCTACTAGTGAGATCAGCCCTAGCCCTGGTTTGTTGACAATGTGTAGCCCAGTCTGGTCTTGAACTTTCAGCCCTTTTCCTGACTCTCAAGTACTGTGATTATACGTCTACACCAACACCTCTAACTCAAGCAATACCTTTTTAAGCAATACCTTTTTAAGGACTCTGCCCAGCTGCAACCCCTTGGTAGCATGTCATAACCAATTTTTTTTTTTAAGAATTATTTATTTATAAGCCAGGCGGTGGTGGTGCACGCCTTTAATTCCAGCACTGGGGAGGCAGGGGCAGGCGGATCTCTATGAGTTCGAGGCCAGCCTAATCTCCAAAGCGAGTTCCAGGAAAGGCGCAAAGCTACACAGAGAAACCCTGTCTCGAAAAACCAAAAAAAAAAAAAAATTTATTTATTATGTATACAGAAGAGGGTGCCAGATCTCATTACAGATGGTTGATTGAACTCAGGACCTCTGGACGAGTAGTCAGTGCTCTAAACCTCTGAGCCATCTCTCCAGCCCACCAATTTTTCATCAGGAGAGACATCTATGGCATCATTGAACTCCGTTTTCAACCTGCCCATTTGCTGTTAGCAAGCATGAAAGTGAGGGACTGGAGAGAGCACTCAGTGTTTAGGAGCATTTGCTGCTCTCATAGAGGACTCCAATTCAGTTCCTAGCACTCACATGGTGGCTCACAACCATCTGTTAACTCCAGTTCCCAGGGGATCTGACTCCCTCTTCTGACCTCTTCAGGCAAGATCTTCCATGCATGTGGTACACATACATACACTCAGGCACATACACATAAAATAAGTATTAAAAAAAGATGAAGACAATTACTAATAAAAAAAATCAATAGGCTGGCAAGAGACTGGCTTTCTGGGAGTTAATGAGTAACACAGCCCTCCAGAAGGTGAGGATTAACTGAGATAACACAAGGAAGGGAGCTTGTCTTCAGCAGACATACTGCTTCTCTTGATCACCCTCTCCCTTCTCTGCTCCCTGACAAATATCACGTTTGTGTGGAGATGAAATAGATGCAAACTAGTTGATAGAGTTTCCTGTGAGTGGAGGAGGGACATACAGCAAGTAACTGTCTGCAAAAGATGCAAATCAGATTAGGCTGGCAGATCTCCGCCTGGTACCCAGGCTTGGTTCAGCACCCTTCAGCACCCTGTTCACTCATTTCAGGAGGTCTTTGCTACTCAGTCAAAGGTCAAAACTTATCCCATTAGTTGGGATTTCTCCAAATTTGGCCTCAACAACCCTCCAACACCTTGTCTTACTAAGATCCAACATAAATCTCTCTTCTTATCCAACTGGTTTCTTTGCTCACCCCTATAAACATCTGTCGCAGCCTTAGCTGAAAAGCCACCTCCTCTCTAAAGTCTTCTTTCCATACACCCAAATCTTACTCATCCATGGGGACCATCCAGGTCCTCTCTTGAGGTATTTCTGATGTCGGAATGCTCTCAGCTCTTGCAAGTCCTGTGTGCTGTGTGTGTGTGTGTGTGTGTGTGTGTGTGTGTGTGTGTGTGTGTGTGTGTGGTGTGTGGTGTATATGTATGTGTCCATACATGGGCATGGAGGCCATACAAGGACACAGGATGTCCTGTTTTATCACTCCCTGCTTTATTCCCTTGAGACAGGATCTCTCCTTGTACCTGGAGCTAAGGTTAGATAGAGGTAAGCCCCGGTGATCCTCCTGTCTCCACCTCCACCCCCTACCCAAGCACTGGCTTACTGTGTTCACAGGGGCAGTTACTGGGATTTGAACTCAGGTCCTCTGCTTGTGCAGCAAGCACTCTTACCTACTGAGCTACCTCTCCAGCCCCAAATCCCACTCTTTGTACTTTCTTCCCTCCTAACTGCTGTATGATGGCAATAACAGTGGAAAAATAGAAACTCGGTTCTGTGTCTCATTTGCTGTTTACCTAGACAAATACCTTTCCTGGCTTCCTATACTTCTGGCGTTGAATAAGAAAACGAAAGTTCCTTTAAACATGTTTAAGATTTATCTTTGTCAGGTGGTGGTGGCACACGCCTTTATTCCCAGCACTTGGGAGGCAGAGTCAGACAGATCTTTGTGAGTTCGAGGCCAGCCTGGTCTACAGATAAAAGATCTGTATGTTATCTTTATGTTATGTGTATGTGTGAGACTGCATGAGTGTATATGTGTATCACATGTATGCAGGAGACCACAGAGGCCAAAAGAGGGCATCAGATCTCTTGGGACTAGAGTTACATGTAAGCCACATATATGCATGCTAGAAACTGAACACAGTCCTTCTGAAAGAGCAGCAAGTGCTTTTAACCTGTAAACCATCTCTCCAGATCCTAAAACTCCTTTTCTTCTTCTTCTTCTTCTTCTTCTTCTTCTTCTTCTTCTTCTTCTTCTTCTTCTTCTTCTTCTTCTTCTTCTTCTCTTCCTCCTCCTTCTCCTCCTCCTATTTTTGAAACAGGCTCTCTCTCTTATGTAGACCTTGATGTCCTGGAACTCGCTATGTAGACCAGGCTGGCCTCAAGCTCAAAGAGATGCACGTGCCAAGTACCGTAATTAAAACTGTGTCGGCTAAAATTCCTTTTAAGATGAGCCTCTGGGGTAAAATTTCATTTAACAAACATTGATAGAGTTGGGGGCTGAATATAAAGAGGCTGGACAGAGGAGAAGAAAAGGCTCTGTTCTGAAGGAACTTGAGCAAAGACTAAGGGCAAACACTCTCTTGTGGAATTCACTGAACGAGGGGTCAAGATTAAAATACCAGGGGCCAGTAGGGTCTCCCTACTCTGTCTGGGCCTGTGGCCAACTCCTTTCTCAGGAACCCATCTTTTTCCTGTTCCAGCATCCCACCACTCACACCTCTGCCCTCCGTACCACAGTTGGTTCATATCGCACAGGACATTCCTTCTAATTTGTTGGTGCTGGGTCTGGGGAGTTCAACCTAATCTCAGCTGTTCAGGAGGCTGAGGCAGGAGGGTCACAAGTTCAAGGCCTACCTGGGCTACATTAAGTGGTGAACCGTGAGAGCTTGTCTCAAAGTAATTTGTAAGAGAATGGGGATGTAGCTCAGTGGCGGACGGTCGCTGTAGCTGGCACAAGATCTGGGTGCAATCCCACAAGATCTCAAGATTACTAGTCATAAGCTGTGTTTGCTTGACCGACCTTATGTTTGTCCCTCCATCACACCCCACCCCTGCGCGTGGTAACTTTGGCTTCAGGCCCCCAAAGCCTCGTCTGGATGCGGCACCTACTGGCAGGCATCCAGAAGCGCGTTAAAAAGGCAACATAGAACAGTGAACAGTCTTTAGTGATTTCTTTGATGAACTTGAATGCCAAGCCCTTTTCTGAACACCTGACCTACCGCATTAATCTATGCGACATCTCTGTTAGGTAGTTACTGTCAACTCATCCAGGTTACAAGTCATCTCTGGAATGCAGTAGAGAGAAGTCAAATGACTTGGCCAAGATAACAAGTAGGTGGAGAAGCAGGCCATGGAATTCTGGCCTGCCCAGTCCTTTCTCTTATAACAGGCACAAGAAAGTACCGCTGGGAAGGTTCTCCACCTCCCTCTCTCTGCCAGCTGTGTCTAGCTCCTGGAGCTACCTTGAAGGTGACTGGCAGAAGTGCTGTCCCTGGGTGAGGCGAAGGCTGAGAGGGTGCTGACTGGACTGGGCTGTGGGTTTGGAGTGGTCAGTTTTTTGACCCTGAGCTGCCGTTAAGAGACCAGATAGAGAAGCAACAGGAGGTCGTGTCTGACTTGGGATCTCCTTTCTCAGTCCTGAATCTCAAGTTCGCTCACCTTCGAGGAAAGGGTAACCAGAGCCACCCTAACCGCGCAGGAGGCATGTTTACGTAGCCGGAATGCATACGTTCAAGGACCGCTGTCGATTCTGGGGTTCAGGCAGG